CTGCCGTTTGGCCTCGTGATATTCGGTCGGCCGGGTTGTCGCTTGTTGGAATGTGTCGCCAAGGTGAGATGTTGGTGTTTTGGCGTATCTCGGATACCCGATTCGTTTAACGTACTTGGCTCCCTTCTTAACCAATTGAGGACAATTGTCGAGTCTGTCCAGAAGGTGACGTTAGTGAACCCTTGCACATAGGCCCTTTGGACGGTCGTATACAAGGTCGTTAGTAGGAGTGCCCCGCACAGCTCCAACCTGGCGATGCTGATCACCTTCAGCGGTGCGACGTGTGACTTCGCACATAGGAGCTGTACCTTGATACGACCGTTTTCATCTGTGGTTCGCACGTAGATGCATGCGCCGTATGCTCGCTCGCTTGCGTCACAGAAACCATGGAGCTCTGTCCTTTTCGTTGATTTTTGTGACACGTGGCGCTGGAAGGAGACCTGATTCAGCTTGTTGAATTGCTGCGCGTAATTGGTCCACTCGGAATGTACGTCGTTGGGGAGGGACTCGTCCCAATGTACCTTCAATTGCCACAACCTTTGTATCAGGATCTTGGCCGTTACAATAACCGGCGCTAAAAGACCCAACGGATCGAACATCCTGGCGATCGCTGGCAAGATCGTTCGTTTGGTGACCCTGTCGTCGAAGGTGGGTTCTACCGTGTACACGATGTTGTCCTCTCGCGGATCCCAAGCAATGCCCAGCGTCTTAATAGAAGAATCTCCGAAGAACTTCGGATGGATTTGTTCTTCGGATAGACCCGTGAGGAGTGACGGTTCATTCGACACCCATTGCCGAATGTTGAGCCTTCCGCTCTGGAGAATCCCGACGATCTCTTCGCGGAGACTTAACGCTTGCTCGTAGGTATCAGCGCCGGTCAGGAGGTCATCCACGTAGAGATCCAGCTTAAGTATGACCGACGCATTTGGAGCGTTATGCGCTTCGTCTTCGGCGAGTTGATGAAGTGCTCGAATCGCGAGGAAAGGGGCTGGTGACAGACCGAACGTGACCGTGTTCAACTCGTACGTTTTGATCCGTTGGTCTGGGTTATCGCGCCATAGGATCCGTTGATACCGTCGGTCTCGTGGTCTCACATTGAATTGCCTGTACATTTTTTCTATATCTCCCGTGAGGACATAGGCGTGTGCTCGAAAACGTGTGAGAAGCGCGAACAGGTCTTCTTGTATCGTTGGCCCTGCCATGAGCGCGTCGTTCAACGACAGCCCGGTACTTGACTTCGCCGAGCCATCGAAGACGACTCGTACCTTCGTGGTGGTACTCGCAAGCTTAATGACGGCATGGTGAGGCAGGTAGAAACCGCCGGTATCGGACGACGGCTGCACCTCACTCATGTGGCCGAGGTCAATATATTCCCTCAGAACGGCAGTATACTCTCGTTTCAGCTCCGGATCGCGGCTGAATTTCTTTTCGATCGCCAATAACCGTCTGAGGGCCTGGGACCGTGACTCTCCGAGTTCTTCCTTCCGTTGGTTGAAAGGTAGCGCGACGGTATAGCGACCAGTTTCGTCTCGACTGACGCTGTCCTGGAAGTGCTGTTCGCATTCCTGTTCTTCCGCGGTCAGATGTTGTTTCTGGGGACCTTCCTCAACGGCCCAAAATTTCTCTAGATCGAAAGTCGGTTGAGTGATGAAGGTCTTGTGTCTCGTCCGTGACTTAGTTGCTGTCCCACTCCCCCCGATGACCCAACCGAATTGCGTCTTTTGCAGGATGAGGTCGGGTTGGTCGTGAGCGGAAAGCCGCAGTTGACCGATGCTCATGCTCGATAGCGTGGGTCCGACGCTGATGAGCATGTCAACTGGCCGCGGGCGGTGAAACTGAGGATCCGCCAGTTTCACATTGGCTGGGATCGGCAAGCGCGCTCGGTCGACTTGCCGATCTGGTATTAGTCCCGTGATCCTAGGTATCGTAAGAAACTTCAATGAACGCGTGAAGTTCGATACCCGGGACCTGATCGTGGCGGTTATCATGCCATTCGTTCTCGTGTTTTGCAGACTCAACGCTTCGATTGTGGTGGTGCACGGTGTTGCCGGGATCTTCAGTTTTTCCGCCAGATCCTCGGTGATAAAATTCGCCGTCGAAACCGTGTCGATCAAAGCTCTGCATTCGTGTTGTCTTCCATCGCGATCGTGGATGTGGACGATCGCGGTGGCGAGGATTTCGTTTCCATGGTCCAGGGGCGGTGCCGTTTTCGGCTTTTCCTTGACGGCTTCCCTTTTGTCCGCATCGGGTCAGATTCTAGCATCCTGGTGGTGTTTTGAGTTGTGTAGCCCGTTGCACACAACGCACCGCCCTGCCTTGCAATTTTCAGCCGCGTGACCCGGCCGTAAGCAATTGAGGCACAGATTTTGTCGACGGGCTACCTCGATTCGTTGGGATACCGGCATTTCCTTAAATTTGGGGCACCAGTACAGGGGGTGCGCGTTCGATTCGCACGCAACGCAGGGAGCGTTGAACGGAGGGCTTCCCTTCCTCTTCGCGTTCGTTCGCGGCGAAGTGGGTCTTGCGCGCCCTCGATTTCGTTCCAGAGACTGGCGTGGGGAGTTGGGTGGCGATCCGCCGGACTTCGTACACGCCGTATATGTTTGCGTACGCGTAGGGTGCGCGGGTGGCGTTCGCGGACGATGGTCGCCTGATCGCGTTTGGGCCGCGTGGGGTCTCGTCCGGATACGTGGCGTACTGGTCCGTGGAGTCGCGTCCCTTATCGGGCACCGCGAAAGGATGGTTTTATTGAGGTCCCTGTCCTTTGCTGCTTCGATCAGGAAAGTCGTCGTTTCGTCGATGGTGGGTGGCTTGGTTCCGGACCTGCTCATATCCCAATTGCGGCGCGTCTCTTTCCCCATGTTCATAATGATGAGACTAGAGACTAGGTCGTTGTTGATATCATCTGCCGATCTGCCCAATGCCAACAAGGATTTCATTTGCGCCTGTACATGATTCGCCATGCCTCGGAGCGCCTCTGGCGTATCGTCGAAGGGCTGCATGTTGCACAGCATCGAGGCATGGCGCAAGATCAGCACCCTCTTGTCGTCGTAGATGTGATGCAGGCGCTTCCACGCGGCTTCATAGTTATC